CCCAGTCACACACCTGGAGTTCCTAGGCATCACATCAAGCTCATGGTATTAACGTTCCTCTAACCAAACTGCGTGCATCCACATAAACGTCTTCAACGACAGTTGCTCTTCCTCATCGGGCAACCGTACTTTGCATGCGGATATTCTTCGGCACGCCATCATCTTCCGTTTCCTGGACGTGGCATCCGCCGGCCTCACGACGACCGCGTTTCCCCCGACTTAAGGAACTGCGGTCAACTCAGCCGTCTCTCAAATTTGCTTGGTCAAATGAGCAGTTCTTCATTTCTGAGTGCGCGATTTATAGCGCCTTTACGGTAATCGCTGAGAAGCGGCACTAAAGCAAGAGTAAAAATAATGCATGTTTTTCTGCTTCATGCGATACAAATTATTTTTACCATGAGTGTTAAAAAAACTAACACTGTTTGACTCAGTCCTAGTTTGACTGCTACCAACAATAAAATGAAGTACTTTTACTGTCTTTTTTTCTGGGTAATTACTCTCAAATTCCCCTCCTGAGAACAAAATCATGCAACTTCTGCTATATTTGATGAGATAAAATGATTTTTATCTATGCATCTTAATAAAAGTGATACTGTTGAACTCAGTACTACTTGGACTAGTTGTCAAACTCCCCTCCAGAGTACATATGAAGTTCTGCCCCTTGACTACTACCAAAGTACAATCAAGTACTTTTACTGTGTACTTTTTGAGTAATCCCTTTGTCAAACTCCACCCCTGAGTACAATAATGCATGTTTTCTGCCATCTTTGATGAGAGATAAAATGATTTTGTGCAATAAGTTCTTAATGTAATTGGTACTGTTGGATTCAGTACTACTTGGACTACTACCAAAACTACAATCAAGTATTTTTACTGTGTACTTTTTGAGTAATCCTTTGTCAAACTCCACCCCTGAGTACAATAATGCATGTTTTCTGCCATCTTTGATGAGAGATTAAATGATTTTGTGCAATAAGTTCTTAATGTAATTGGTACTGTTGGATTCAGTACTACTTGGACTACTACCAAAAGTACAATCAAGTACTTTTACTGTGTACTTTTTGAGTAATCCTTTGTCAAACTCCTCTCCAGAGTACAATAATGCATGTTTGCTGCCATCTTTGATGAGAGATAAAATCATTTTGTGCAATAAGTTCTTAATGAAATTGATACTGTTGGATCAGTACTACTTGGACTAGTAGCACAAGTACAATCAAGTACTTTTACTGTGTACTTTTTGAGTAATCCTTTGTCAAACTCCACCCCTGAGTACAATAATGCATGTTTTCTGCCATCTTTGATGAGAGATAAAATCATTTTGTGCAATAAGTTCTTAATGAAATTGATACAGTTGGATTCAGTACTACTTGGACTACTACCAAAAGTACAATCAAGTATTTTTACTGTGTACTTTTTGAGTCTTGTAATGCGCTGTTGAGGAACCTGCGACCCAAGTTGTGTATATGATCAATACACCTTAGAAAATCTTGAAATCTTGAAAGGGATGTGCAAAAGAGCCATTATACAGTTTTTAATTAACTATTAGTAGAGAATAACGAGTAATGAATATACTTTATAGAGATCTGCAGATAAATGTTTAGTCTTCTCAAGCACCAACTATCAAATATCTCTCCTGATTGTTGGCACTTGACAATCACCTTCCCTGAATTTCACTCAGGTGTAACTAAAGTCTGCTTTAAGGGTTGTTTATATTTCACATCATTAATCAGAATCTGCAAAGTAACTAAACTAAATGTAGTGGAGTAAAAATACCAGGTTAACCTCTGATTTGTAGTGGAGAATTACAAAGTAACAATGAGCTGTCGTGTGGGTATATATTAATGCTGCACATTATGGATACAAGCGATTTTCACCCATTTAGTAATTACATGTTTTAAATGTGTACACACCAATGTGTTTCCTATCGCCTAAACCTCCAGGGCTGTACACAGTTTAATACTGGCAACTTCTAATTTTTGGAAAAACGTCTTTTAAAACTACAATTCCCAGTAGATACGTGCCATAGAGAACATGTTGCGAAACACAATAGCCAGCATGTGTATTTCTCGGGGGGCGTTCGAGTCCAGTTTTGAATAGTCTGCCGTGGTTTCGTTCCATTTCAAAGAGCTTGACGCTCGGCGTAACCTTGGCGCACTGCCACTCCAACATCACAGGGTTTGTCAACGGGACTGTAGTCCCAAACGATAGCTGGGGATTATGGGTAGTGTAGTATCTTTGGCCATCCTAAATCTCGAAATGTCCCGTCTGTTTCTGGTGACTTTATTTACGGCTAAAAAGCATGCTAAAATGCCCAAGATTATAGAATTAAACGAATAAATAAAAACAAGGATAATTGTGTGTTATTGTTGAGTAAATAACAGTGTGTTATTTAGAAAAGAATAACAAATTAGAAGGAAAAGATTACAAAAATACAGATTTCAGTATTTTGAGGCTCTAAGCCCCATTTATTTTCCTCACAGACGGCAAAAAAAGTCCGACATTATACGATTTAAAATAAAAACAAATAAATAAAAAGATAAAAGACTGGCATGCAATTTACGTTAGAATAAATAGAATGGTTTTGAATAATAGATGATAGTCAAATCTACGTCACTTTACAGCCCCGCCCACTTTTGGGGAAACCAACGCTGTCATTTGAACGGCGATCAAGCCTGAAGCCACAGAGCTCTTCTGTTACTGTCCTTTGTTCTTAGAGGAAGTACAGAAACACGTAACTCTAGATTTGTTTTAATGTTTGAGGTGCAATAAACGACACAGCAGCTTTTTGTCATGTTAAAACTATTATTTTCTGCCTCGCTCATGAGAGTAACAGCTGGAGAAATTACAGCCTCGCCTACTGATTTTAATGTAACCATATATCGAGCCCGATTCTCGATTTCAAAGGTGTGCTCTAAAATGATATTTATAAATGACTATTATCATTATTATAAGCAAGACAATAAATGGCAAATATATGTAGAAAATAAACGTATTTAAGATACGTTCATAACGAACGTAACGTGGGAGAAAATACGTTTCTAGAAGATATGTAGAAAATAAACGTATTTTAAATAGGTTCATAACGAACGTAACGTGGGAGTAAATCAGTTTCTAGCTAAACGTAATTGAGAATGCAGTTTAGTTCTGTGGGAACGTAATTTTTAGGAGACATGGTTGCAAAAATTATACATGTGTTATACATCCAGAAATATCGAAATATCGTTTCCCACAGTGTGACATGTATACATAAAACAAAAAGGGCCTAGATAAACGTGGTATAAATTAAACAAAACAAAAAGGGCCTAGATAACCGGGGTATACCGTTTAAAATGTTAATATATTTAAAGTGTTCAAAGTGCAGTTTCAGTGCAAGTCAGTTGAAACGATCTTAAGTTGGCGTGACGTTGAAGTCGTGCGACCCTGCTGCTGTACTGGCTTGTAGTTCGTTTATAGCATAACGTTAGCATTTCGCTTTTGGCGACTAGATTTATGATTCAAATTATAAAAGTAGGGTAGACATGTGGAGATTATCCGGCTGAACAAAACGTGATCCCTCTCTTAAATGTGTGTCAACCACAGACCTTATTTCCAGCTATTTTCCAAAATCCTATGGAGAATTTGCATTGGTTTTTCACGAAGGAACCGGAAGAAGTTTACTTCCGGGTTTTACCACGCGTCACTGCGGTTCTCTATACCTGTCAATTAGTGCTTCCATGGACCTCATCTGTAATGGAAGCTCGTCGAGGGTACGTATATTTGTATTTCAACAGAAAAGTAGTTATATACATAATTGTGTTCGAAAATAAAACACAAATGTTTATATGAATTGTTTATAGTTCTGATTTGACTTTATTTTAAGTCAAATCATAACTATTATATGTAGTTTAATCATTTTTATTTAGGTGGTCGCTCAGTTTTTCAAATGTACACCATTCAGCTCCTCCAGCACCCCTACTTCCTGCGGCACCCGACACACTGAACTCACATGTTGTTTAACAGATGACACGTTTGTAAACAAAAACCCTGCTGGGGGACTGGGTGATACATTATCTTTTAAAATTGTATGAACATGTCGAAATTTAAGAATCCCCATAGAAATTGTCAACGGACAAACTGTTTTCTCAAGATGTACATGTATTATTATTTTTTTTAAATAAGAAAAAAACAGTGTTCTTGTTTATTACAGGTTATAAAGTTATACTTTTATAAAATGTATGGACAACATTTTAAAAAGTGCTGGGGACATGTACCCAGCATCCCCAGCTTAAATGACACCTATGAATATATCCCTCTGTCCTTTCAGCGCAATTCGACATAGCATAGGCAACAAATCAGAAGTCAGGGAATCAAGCTAATTAATTAAAAAAGTCTAAACTGAGTGAAAAGTCTAACTATAAATAATAGATTTTAACTTGTTATGTCTTTTCAGAGTCTTGGTTTTCTCAACGTTTGGGAAGGCAAGTGTTTCTTATTTGTCACACAATTGTAATTGCATTAAACAATTCAATGATTTCTCAAATGTCATATTTTTTTACAAAGAAATGACGGAACTTTGACATTTCAATTTCAGACAAGAAAAATAACAATAACAAAAGAAGTCCTTTTGGCTGTCACTGACAAGCTTCGAGCCACAACCAAAACAAAAGACAACGATGAAGGTGACGAGAAAGACACTTTCTGGGGCGAGGTGTGTCAGGAGCTTGGAATATCCGATTCCAAGACCAATAGGACACGGCTTCATCATGCCTATAATCATCATAAAAAGGTACATTTTTTATAAATATTGCACTAATATTGATTCTTATTTCTGCTTTGCTTTTATCTTCATCATCAGTCTGCCTGTGTGAACAACTTTAATTTGGATGTGCTATAATATTTTATATTATTTGATTAATAATTACATCTTTGGATTTCATTTGCTCCTTGTCATGTGCAGATGAGACACAAGACACAGATGGTGACCGCAGCACCTGCCAGCCCATCGACAGACAGGTGACCACACGGCCTGCCCCATCGACAGTGACCACAGTTCCACTGACATTGACCGCACAGTGCCTGCTACCCCATCGTCGGTTAGACAGGCATTCACAGAGACGAGTGAACCAGAAGACGTTTCAGAGGTAAATATCGCATATTAGCACGTAGTTAGTGTTAGTGTGTTATGAAACATGCACACTACTGTGTGGAGTGAAATTATAGTTAGTCCCAAATAAACAATTTCAGATATATTGATTCACATCAGTAAAGAGTCATTCCAACTTTGGTCACTTTCGCTAATATGTTTTCATTGTGTTTTACAGTGTAATTCATCAGGGACATATGACTCCTCATCACACTCAAAAGATGGGCAACTCTTACACTCATTTAAATTGCCTTCAAATCCTTCATTTTTTTTTGTCACTAAAAGTGACTGGAAGAAACTGAGGATGAGACAACATAAGCGTCGATTCAAATCTTTAAACTGGACTTCAGTCATGGCCACTGGCATCCGGAGTGTCCACCCACACTGTTGCTTTGTCTTCAAATCTCACAGTGTGCGAACAGTTGGGTCAAAAAGGAAAGGGTCACTTTTTTCATGTGTTGGCTACTGTCGATTTGATGACTGTCCTGTGGAGGTCGAAGTTGACATTGAGGATGAGTCATCCCTTAAGGCAGTTGTGACCTTCAGAGGTGAAAAAGCATGGCACAACTGTGAAGAACTCAAACATCGGCCTGTGCGTGCAGATGAAAGGGATGCACTTGCTAATGCCCTCACCAGCAAACTTCCCAGAAGTGTGTACCTTGATAAGCTCAATAAACTGGATGACACTGTGTTGGCTTCTGGAAACAGAGACCAGGTACCATCAACTGGTGTGATGAAAACATTGTCCTGGCAGGCAAGAAAGAAGCTGAGAAAACACAGCAATGAAATGATCAGCCTCAGAAAAATGATGGAGGAAGAGCTTGAGACTGAGGAAGCAGTCATTAAAAAAATTATAGCACACCCCAAAGGAGTCATGCTATGGTCCAACAAAACAATTGACCTCTTCCATGACAGGTGCAGGGAAGACATTGTATATGTGGATGCGACAGGGAGCATTGTTAAAAAGGCAAAAGGGAAAACCTCACCTTTTTATGTGTATGAGATGGTGGTCCGAAATCCGTTCAAAGGATCCTCCCCTGTCCCTGTGGCCACCTACATCACAAACGACCACACAATAGCCTCCATATCCTTTTTCCTGGGTCATTTCTGACTGATGTAATAAGACTCCATGGAAGGGGAGCCAAAAAAAGACCTGTCATGCTGATCTGTGATGGCTCTACAGTCCTCATGGAGTCCATGGCCTATAATTTCTGTGGAGTCAGCCTCCAGGAACTTCTCTCCATGTACTACAGCATCGTATCTGGACAGGCAAAGCATGATTGTACTTTTAGTAGTAGTCCAAGTAGTACTAAATCCAACAGTACCAATTTCATTAAGAACTTATTGCACAAAATCCTTTTATCTCTCATCAAAGATGGCAGAAAACATGCATTATTGTACTCAGGGGTGGAGTTTGACAAAGGATTACTCAAAAAGTACACAGTAAAAGTACTTGATTGTACTTGTGCTACTAGTCCAAGTAGTACTGAATCCAACAGTATCAATTTCATTAAGAACTTATTGCACAAAATAATTTCATCTCTCATCAAAGAGGGCAGAAAACATGCATTATTGTACTCAGGGGTGGAGTTTGACAAAGGATTACTCTAAAAGTACACAGTAAAAATACTTGATTGTACTTGTGCTACTAGTCCAAGTAGTACTGAATCCAACAGTACCAATTTCACTAAGAACTTATTGCAAAAAATCATTTTATCTCTCATCAAAGATAGCAGAATACATTCTTTTGTGTACTCAAGACAGGAGTTTAAACAAGTATTACTTAAAAAGTACACAGTAAAAGTGCTTGATTGTACTCGTGGTAGTAGTCCAAGTAGTACAGAATTCAGCATAACCGATTTTATTAAGAACTCATTGCAAAAAATGATTGTATCTCTCATCAAAGAGGGCAGAAAACATGCATAATTGTACTCTGGAGGGGAGTTTGACAGAGTATTACTCAAAAAGTACACAGTAAAAGTACTTGATTGTACTTTTAGTAGTAGTCCAAGTAGTACTGAATCCAACAGTACCAATTTCATTAAGAACTTATTGCACAAAATCATTTTATCTCTCATCAAAAATGGCAGAAAACATGCATTATTGTACTCAGGGGTGGAGTTTGACAAAGGATTACTCAAAAAGTAGACAGTAAAAGTACTTGATTGTACTTGTGCTACTAGTCCAAGTAGTACTGAATCCAACAGTATCAATTTCATTAAGAACTTATTGCACAAAATCATTTTATCTCTCATCAAAGATGGCAGAAAACATGCATTATTGTACTCTGGAGGGGAGTTTGACAGGGGATTACTCAAAAAGTACACAGTAAAAGTACTTGATTGTACTTTTAGTAGTAGTCCACGTAGTACTGAATCCAACAGTATCAATTTCATTAAGAACTTATTGCACAAAATTATTTTATCTCTCATCAAAGATGGCAGAAAACATGCATTATTGTACTCTGGAGGGGAGTTTGACAGGGGATTACTCAAAAAGTACACAGTAAAAGTACTTGATTGTACTTTTAGTAGTAGTCCAACGTAGTACTGAATCCAACAGTACCAATTTCATTAAGAACTTATTGCACAAAATCATTTTATCTCTCATCAAAGATGGCAGAAAACATGCATTATTGTACTCAGGGGTGGAGTTTGACAAAGGATTACTCAAAAAGTACACAGTAAAAGTACTTGATTGTACTTGTGCTACTAGTCCAAGTAGTACTGAATCCAACAGTACCAATTACATTAAGAACTTATTGCACAAAATCATTTTATCTCTCATCAAAGATGGCAGAAAACATGCATTATTGTACTCAGGGGTGGAGTTTGACAAAGGATTACTCAAAAAGTACACAGTAAAAGTACTTGATTGTACTTTTGGTAGTAGTCCAAGTAGTACTGAATCCAACAGTACCAATTTCATTAAGAACTTATTGCACAAAATCATTTTATCTCTCATCAAAGATGGCAGAAAACATGCATTATTGTACTCAGGGGTGGAGTTTGACAAAGGATTACTCAAAAGTACACAGTAAAAGTACTTGATTGTACTTTTGGTAGTAGTCCAAGTAGTACTGAATCCAACAGTACCAATTTCATTAAGAACTTATTGCACAAAATCATTTTATCTCTCATCAAAGATGGCAGAAAACATGCATTATTGTACTGTGGAGGGGAGTTTGACAGGGGATTACTCAAAAAGTACACAGTAAAAGTACTTGATTGTACTTTTAGTAGTAGTCCAAGTAGTACTGAATCCAACAGTACCAATTTCATTAAGAACTTATTGCACAAAATCATTTTATCTCTCATCAAAGATGGCAGAAAACATGCATTATTGTACTCAGGGGTGGAGTTTGACAAAGGATTACTCAAAAAGTACACAGTAAAAATACTTGATTGTACTTGTGCTACTAGTCCAAGTAGTACTGAATTCAACAGTACCAATTTTATTAAGAACTTATTGCAAAAAATCATTTTATCTCTCATCAAACATAGCAGAATACATTATTTTGTGTACTCAGGACAGGAGTTTAAACAAGTATTACTTAAAAAGTACACAGTAAAAGTGCTTGATTGTACTCGTGGTAGTAGTCCAAGTAGTACAGAATTCAGCATAACCGATTTTATTAAGAACTCATTGCAAAACATGATTGTATCTCTCATCAAAGAGGGCAGAAAACATGCATTATTGTACTCTGGAGGGGAGTTTGACAGAGTATTACTCAAAAAGTACACAGTAAAAGTACTTGATTGTATTTGTGGTAGTAGTCTAACATGTACTGAGTCCAACAGTACCAATTTTATTAAGAACTTATGGCTAAAAATAATTTGATCCCTCATCAAATATCATTGATTGATTGATCAAATATAGCATAAGCACTTTTACTACCGTCAGCGCCACTTCTCGGTGATTACCGTAAAGACGCTATTAATCGCGCACTCAAAAATGAAGCGCTGCTCATTTGACCAAGCAAATGCGAGAGACGGCTGAGTTGACCGCAGTCTTAAGGACGTGCACCGCACATCCTCCGTTTTGGGGGGGACATCTGCATGAGATCATTCGCATAGCGGCACACTCAGATTTCCACTATTGCTACACATTTATTATCACACTCGCTGGATCTAACACTAGCGTCCCTCAGAAAACAAGAAGTCAATCGAGACGTCAGCTTTTCTGACATATCCTTTCACGCCAGCCATTTTAGCTTATATCTTAAGCACTCCAAATGCGGCGGCGCCTGCTCCGTCATCGCCGCCCGCAACGACTCCCAGTTCTGCCCTTATAAATCCATGATCAAATTCCTACAGCTTAGACCTACCTCTAATCCTCTCTCTCCATTATTCCTTATCTCAGGGAATTTTCCTTTAACTCAACGACAGTTCAATATCTATTTAAAACAAGTCCTCATTAAATCCGGGTTATCACCCCTTCTATACACGGGGCATTCCTTTAGAATAGGCGCAGCTACTTCCGCTGCTAATCAAGGTGTCTCATCCTCATCCCTGCAACAACTCGGACGGTGGTCCTCCTCCGCTTTCTCATCCTACATTCGCCCTGACCTCAATGCCGTGCTGGCTATCCAAAGATCTCTCCAACCTTAAAATTGGTACGTATGCATATAACTGGTGGTGGTTCCTAGCATGTCAGCATGTATGTCGCCCCAAGGCTCATGTTTATTCCTGCATATCTACCCTGTATGTCCAGGTTGTAAAACCTTCGGGTCTGTATAAATGTGTCCCTGCTGAGGCAGGTTGCCCCGCACGTTCGGGAAGCCCTGCACGTCCGGGATGCCCCGTTCGCCCGGGATGCCCCGTTCGCCCGGGATGCCCCGTTCGCCCGGGATGCCCCGAACGTCCGGGATGCCCTGTACGTCCAGGATGCCCCGTACGTCCGGGACGCCCTGTACGTCCAGGATGCCCTGTATGTCCAGGATGCCCCGTATGTCCGGGACGCCCTGTACGTCCAGAATGCCCCGTACGTCCGGGAAGCCCCGTATGTCCGGGTCGTTAACCTCCGGTCCGTATAATGTGTCCCTGCTAAAGTCAGGTTGCTCCGCACGTTCGGGAAGCCCTGCACGTTCCGGGCGCCCCGCACGTCGGGTCGCTCGGTGCGTCCGGGATGCCCCGTACGTCCGGGACGCCCTGTATGTCTAGGATGCCCTGTATGTCCAGGATGCCTACAGGGGAGCTAGGGGGTGCTGAAGCACCCCCCAGGATTGCCAAAGCACGCCCCTAAGCACCCCCAAGAAATATGTTTGTTTGTTTGTTTTTTTTCGAAAATTATTATTATTATTATTTTTATTAAAGGGATAGTGGAAATGGAACCTCAAATAGTTTCGTTTTAACTTATATACAAGCATAATTACGTACCAAAACAATCACACCTGATTAAAAAATATATAATAATTGCCTTACGCATGTTAGAAGCACTTTATTGCAGCTTCCCCGAAGTTTTTTAGAAACGAAATGTTCGACTCAGCCAAACCGGAAGTGACGAAAACTTAGGAAGACGATACGATAACAAACCATGGCGTCTATGCAGAATGAACGTGGAAGGGCAAATATACCAGACAAAGAAGAAGGATTGTACGAGGTATCCAGTGATGATAGCGAGTCAGAAACATCCTCTCGGCTTTCCTACGAAAATGTCGTTTTAGGAACTGAATCTGAATCCGGTTCAGTAAGCGACGATGGACCATTACGTCCTTATTTGTTCGAGCCCGAGCCCGAGGTGATGGTTCACGGCATGGGCAATGGCGAGGATGACCAGGACCAGGCGCCAGATGATGCACCCCTACGCACAAATAATCTTGACTGGTAGGTCCCTAAGCATAGCTCACGCATCTTAAGATCACCTGTAGCCTTTACAAATATGAATCATTGTTAACCAGTTAAGCCCGAAGGTCCCCCCAGTGGACCCCTCCCACAGTTTTTTTTCTCTCACATGTCTCAGGGCTTCTTAACATTTATGAAACTATTAATGTTTCATACCCTTTTAAAGGTAAGAAACTCCGCTAACTGACAATAAGAACAATTGTTAGCTAGAAAAAACACAAGAGTAATACCAAGCCTTTGAATTAGCATTGAGCGAAACAATGCTAACTAATGCTAACGCTTTTTTACACACAACACACGGTAGAAATGCCCTTATTACTATCTTAACTGCACAAACAAGATATACGATTTAAAGCTGAGACTCCACAGATTCCACACATGTAATGTCATCACTGTAAGACCTCGAATTCCTGGAGCTATCAGCCAGAAAAGAGAAAGTAAACAACATCCGGTTCCAAAAATATTACAATAATTACGTCTTACCTTTTTTGATTTGTGATCAAAAGTTGTGTTCAACGGAATAAAAACGCATCTCAAGGTTAATCCAATGTCGTTGTGTCACGTATAATTTTTTACTGATAATCAATCATCATATTTATGGCAATATACTCGGTACCATAATAAAGGTCGGCTATTCACATGCAAATACTATTGAATGTCCGCCATTGTTTGTGCCCGTCTTCCTATGCTCTCGTCATCACCCGAAGATTCCCGACGATTCCCGAAGTATTTCGTTTCATTGAGAGGGCGCAGTAAAATTGAAAATAAAATGAAACTAGGCGCATGAAATAAAAAAAAATTGTTTATTATGCTTATTTTTAATAAAAATACATAAGTTAAACCCAAAATTCGCGGATTTCCACTATCCCTTTAAATTAGAAACATTATTGATTACATCAATGCAAATGTGAAACAAACACATTTTTGACCAAAAACATAAAGCCAACACAGGTGATATGATTAGGCCAATGGCCAGCACCCATTCGATTTTTGACCTACCCATAGGCTAAATTACTTTGACACTTGAGTGACTTCCTGTTAGCGAGAGCACCACATTATTTGCTAACAGCAAAGTGAAAGATAGATCGTTTTTTAGTCTTTAAGCGTCCACGTGTGGACACTCAATCAAAACCACCTGAAAGCGAGAGGGATTCTGCACATAATAGCCTAGCGTCGTGAGTAGCCTACAAGTAGCTTCTCTGGTCTCTGTGTTTCATTCAAGCTCTGCTCTCTGTGGTGTGTGTGTGTGTGTGTGTGTGTGTGTGTGTGTGTGTGTGTGTGTGTGTGTGTGTGTGTGTGTGTGTGTGTGTGTGTGTGTATGTGTGTATGTGTGTGTGTGTGGCACGAGCCATTTTGTGTGCGTGCGTGCGCGAGCGAGAGAGAGAGCTCGCCTCTACCGGAGATCGTTGTGGTTAGCATCTGGTGCTAGCTAGCCAAGCTAACGGATATAAGGAGCTTTTTCAACAACAAGGTGGAGGGAGAATTCTCTCCTCCCATACGGATAGTCTCAGATAACCTCAGCTCAGGTGAAGTAAAGGGCTCTCAGTGTTTAGATAGTTAACTTTAGTCTAGTTATCTCAGTGGGTCTCAAACAGTTTGTTTTAAAAGGGTGTGTGATTTAAAAAATATCTATAAAGAAATAGAAAATCTGTTTACAGTTCTGTGTCATATGGATGTTGAGAGATGTATCCATAGATCTCTTAATGTTGCTCTCAAAGTGCACCAGATTGATGCTTTTAACTTCAATATTTAAAAAAATCTTCCCGGGGGAAACATGCCCCCGGACCCCACTAGAGGAGGTGAGGACCCCGAGGTGAGGTCCATCCCCCACTTGTAAAAATAGCACTTTACCCCTGCTTACACCTATATGCCGTTAGCTGATTATCGAGCCTTCATTGTAACAGTAGAAAATTCAACTGTAGCGCTGGTGCATTAATGGGAAACCCTTACGGCCCGTCCACACAACAGCGTTGACAGCGTCGACCGCTTCAATCTGCCCATTCACTTTGAATGGGGTGACGTCACGTTGCCTCGCTTTTTCGCCGAACTGAATTGTGGGTAGCATAGCGGTCCGTCTCCGCCGGAGACGCCGGAGTAGCCAGCGCCAGCCAATCAAATCCCGTTTCGGAAAATCTGACAGCTCAAGCCGTAGCCAATCAAACCGCGTCTAAGCTGGGAGAGATATCCCGCCGTTCATTTCTATATTTCAAAAAAAGATGGAGGAGAAACTAATTATCGCCGTAGCAAATCACCCGGTTTTGTATGACCAGACCCTCTTCACCTACCGGGATACAAACCGGAGGAACCAGGCATGGAGGGAGGTGGCAGAGACAGTGGGTGAAACTGGTAGGTTTTCGCCTGTTTGGGGAGTTTATATATATATTGCTCCCATAAAATCTCCGGGGGTTTTTGCTTTGTATGTCGGGGGCGGGAGATTCATGTGATTGGTTGTTGGTCGCGTTGCTTGAATAAAATCCCCAAGCTTCAAACACGCCCAGCTCCAAGCTTTTTTTAAAGCTGTAGTGTGGACGCTCCGTTAATGTTTGAGCACCCTCTATGAAACGTCAAGCTACCCCACAGCACCCCCTAGAGAAAATCTCTGGCGCCGCCACTGCGTCCAGGATGCCCCGTCCGGGATGCCCCGTACGTCCGGGAAGCCCTGTATGTCCAGGAAGGATGCCCGGGAGGCATCAGATGTTTAAATTCTCACATGTATTAACCTCTCATTTCCATCCATAGATTTCCACTGCATCCCACAAGGTAAGATTCTTCACGTTCAGTACTTCATACTTCTTTTGGGGGTTCATCGGAAACGGTTCTTCCCTTCCCGATTGATATCCTACAAAACATGGGCCTAATCGCCAAAACACCATTTCATTCACTTGTTATAAACTGTCATCATTATGTTTCATTGATATAATGTGACCGATAATAAATATGTATTCCATACATCACGTCTCTCCTGATTGAAATGAAGCTTAGCGCAAGTTCAGACAGGAAGACCTATCACTCCGTATTGCACGTCATGGCAATACTCGCTCCCTGCACTAAATGACAGGGAGCGCCACTCCTCAGCTAACCTATCACCACCCTCCATTTACAAGCCTAGTTATCGCACCTGTTAATCCCTCTATATATGCTCTCCCCTTTCCTATCAGCTGTCTTCCAGGTGTCGCGCAACCCTCCTCCACCCCTTCGCCTCCTGCTTTCAACTCAGGGCCAAGCTTAACCTTCTCCCTTCCAACCGGACCTAACCACTTATCACCACCACCAGTGTCTAGACCCAGGGGGGTTGATCGGAAACGGTTCTTCCCTTCCCGATTGATATCCTACAAAACCTGGGCCTAATCGCCAAAACACCATTTCATTCACTTGTTATAAACTGTCATCATTATGTTTCATTTATATAATGTGACCGATAATAAATATGTATTCCATACATCACGTCTCTCCTGATTGAACATGTGACGATTTACCCATTTCAGAAATGTTTTATTTTTATCCCGAGGAAATTATCCAGAGTACAGAGCAGGAAGAGGTCGAATATAAAATACAATATAAAAAATAAAACCCCATAAAAATGGTATAAATCCAAATATATATATGTACAGTATAAAACAATACAAACAAGTCGTAAGGATTAAACATGTGTGCGAGTGGCCTCTTGTATCCCGTACTGACCACATCACCTGGTTGAAGTAATATAGTTTCATATCTATTTATTTATATTCCGCTATAATTAAATATTTCTGACCAAAATAGTCAACTGTAAAGCAAAAATACCTAATGCTAATCTGCTAACTTTAAAGTGGACCTATCATGCTATATTTGAAACATATATTGTAGGGCCATACCTATACAAAACATGTCTGTGAATTTTTTTTTTCAAAATACCAAACAGATCATGCATTTTAGCCATGCCTCATTTCGCTCTATATGCTCTTTTCCAGCCCTGTTTTTGCAAGGGCTGATTCTGTGAGAAGTCTTCTTCGCTGCTTTTGTGGCAGACTACAGCGCCACTTACAGGCCTGGCCTATGTACTACAGCGTCTCCAGCGCTTTCGAGCGGTCTCTCATTCCCCTGATAGGCGGAGCACCCCTTTTCTGACGTCAGAACAAATAATAATCAGATCATCACATGATTTCATTCAAAGCAGGTTTGAAATAAGTAAAGGGTTAAATAATCTTACATATTCCGACAAACATCTCTCTGTTTCAGAATATTTACACGGCTGCTTAATCCACACCAGCTTCTTCTGCCAGACTGTGAGAGTTATTGGGGGTCGTTAACAGTAGAGTACAGAGGGGGCTCATCAGAGCTAGCTTCCACCCGAGGAACAGAGTAGATAACACGCTCAGCGTCACCGTGGAAACCGCCGTGGGACGAGCCGACGCTGACAAGTATGATCTCAGAGTAGGTGTGTTGACTCGGGTCGTCTTCAGCCTGGAGGGAAAAGCATTGCTTGATTAAATGTGTTTTTAAAAACAGAGCAAAACAAACAACTGGACTTGTTATGAAGTAATGTCATCAAAACAAAAAGAAGTTGCATTTGTTTAGGTATTTTTTCATATTTACACGTATTATATTACTGCAGACAATATTGTATAACTTGTTTATCCTTACTGTAGTTTGTAACTAGCTGAAGCAACAACATAGTAGTAATAATTGGTTTTGGCTCAATTTGGTTGAGTTTATTGAGTGTAAATTGAAGAGATTTCCCCAGGAGATCTCACACAGATCTTTGTACACGTTGTTGGTTTACAGAAGAATGAATTAATATGATGCTTATATTTTCTCAAACTCACCTCTGGTGCAGAAGCACATTGTGTTTCCTCATGAGGTTCTGAAAAACACAACAGTACTTTGAGAAAAAGACTCACATGACATCACACATTCCCCATTTGAACCAATATTTAGGCCAACAATTAAGATCTGAGTAAAACAAGATGCATGGATGTGTTTTGAGTTTGTAAACAACAGAATATACAGTATATTTTAACCACCCTGCCAAATTTAAATTACTAAAGAAAATTGAATAAGTATATCAAATAAAGTTTAAATGAAAAAGATTAACAAGCTATGGCTGCATGTTTCTAAAATGCATATTAACTTTTTAAAAAAAGCCTCTGATCTGACTTCACTGAGTCTCCAAAATAGAGGAAGCTATCCTCTTAGCTCTCTACATTTGTGTCTGTTGAAAAGCTTATTTTTATAAATGGCATAAGTTTTGTAGATAGACTGATTTGCAGTCAGGTGTGAAATAGATTTAAATGTATGTTGTTGTTTTTTTAAATCGTATTATTGTGTAGTTGCATTGATACTAACATGTTCTATGTTTGCGATGTTGCAACTTACATAGCATAAATCTAGCATCTGTTTCCTAGCAACAACTGAAGGATTGTCGCTCTACAAGAACCAGTGATAACAAAACTTTTAGACTGAGCAGCAGTTGGGTTATTTTGAATGCTCTAAATGAATATCCGTACCCCCAATCTGGTGTTGGGGGATGGACATTTTGTGTGAGAAAGTTATTTTTAGAATTGTGCGTCTGCTTTTAAAGTTAATATAGGTCAAGAAAACGGACAACTTTTCAGTGAGACATGTTTTTTGTGTGTGTGTGTGTGTGTGTGTGTGTGTGTGTGTGTGTGTGTGTGTGTGTGTGTGTGTGTGTGTGTGTGTGCGTGCGTGCGTGTGTGTGTGTTACCTGGTTCCTCACTTTTGTCTTTACAAATCCTCTTCCTGCAGAATACCAGCACAGACAGTGAGGACACGATGACCAGGACTCCCAGAGTCAGAGATACATACAGGATCACACCTGTGGTTGTTTGAAGAGTTAAATGTAAACAATGACATCTAACACTTGAGTACCCATAATCCATTTTGTTTTTCAAGGGGGGGGGGACAGGTTATCTTTAGGGGAAGACAACAGGTCAACAGTATTTGCCATATACTGTAAAATAGAGTAAATCTTTACTGATTTCAAGGTTCAGCATTTTAAAATGTACTTTGTTATGTGTTTTGAAAGATTCAAATTAAAATGTAAAGGTTCTGATTGTAGAAAAGTTATAGAACAATATGATGGAAGAATGTGTTGTTTAAACTGTATCTACTAAACACAGTGTGGATGTAACTTTAGTTCTTTTCATGGAGCTTTCACTTTGGTTTGATGTTTCTGTAGAGGCTGATGAGACGGGTGATGAAGGAGTAGAAGTGGTCAGCGCAGTGAACAAAAATAAGCAAGAAGTCCTGATGAGAGAAATGAGATCCTCCTCTGTGTCTGTCTGTCAGCTGAACTCTTTTAAATTGGTTTTAAAATATTAGCAGCTTTCAGTGAAAAAGGCAGCAGTTTGTTTATATGTATGTATTTGTGTATAGGTGTTGCATCTATACAGAGCTTTGGAAATACTGTATGTAACTATGGTCATACTAATAAAGCTATTGAATTTAGTTTAATTGAAAACTGTCTTCAGAGACATGAACAAACTTTTTCATTATGAAGCAGAAACTCACCATCAGTGACGTTGAGCACAAACATCTGGGATGGATCTTGTGAGTTAGTTCTGCCCAGACCACACCTGTACCGTCCTGAGTCAGACTGGGTCAGCTGTTTGATGCTCACAAACACAAACACTCCTGTTGGATTCCCTTCAATATATCTGATGCTGTATCTGTCTTTCAAATATGTGTTACTATTTGTTTCAATAAGAATGTCTTCTCCTTTACATTCCTCCTTGCAGAAGTACATGTTGACCAGAGCGCGAGTAAAGTAGCATTCAACTACAATATTCCCTCCAGTTCTAGCATCGATAGTTTTTTCTGCAGAAGGATCACCATCAAGTTTTGCTGTTGAAAACAATTACAAATCAATAGTTACTATTTGTAGTTTACATATCGTAGTTTCACTATCTATAACTTTGTATATTTAAACTTGATCCAGTCCAACAACTTAATGAAATGGCTTTTTAGCTGAAATTCTTTATTATTTTATTTCAGTTGGATTTGATATCATTATATTTTGAATTTATATTAGATTTGAACGTCTTAATAAATCATTGGCTTTGTAATTTTTTATTATAAACAGTATCCGATTAAAGTTAACTGATAATTAAATATGTGAACTTTTGTTGAAATTTATTTTGAAAGTATAATTTGTTATTATGATTTACCCTGAGTCAGCTGGAATTCATATGCTCATTACTTCCCTAAAACATGACTTAAACACTTCTGCATTAACTGTTCTTGAGAAAAGAGGAGCTCGTCTCTTTCTGAAGAAATGTTTTAAATGGTGAGGTTTAAGCAGAATGCATGTTTTAGGGAAGTACTGAGCATACAGTAAATGACATTTGGATTATACAGCATTAGTTGTGTTAGAGTTGGTTAATGGATGTTTGTAATATATTTTGGCTGTTGTTAAATATGGCCTCCAGTTCCTAATTAATTTCACATTCTTTAAGACTTTTCTCCATTTTGGGATTCTTTGTTCACCGTGGAGTCACGCTAGACACAGCTATCAAATTCATGATCTGAAAATGGTAATTTGGGGGTAAAGTATTCCTTTAAAGCCCGACCGCAGCCACAAACCACCAGTTCAGTTATTGTCTATTGATCTCAATCTATTACTAATTGTCTTACTTGTTAACAGAACACAGAGCGGCCATATGATCTACTTCATTCAGATAAGAACACAAACAACAGTGAATATGCTCGTGCCCCTGGTATTAAATTCTTCATCAATAATGTTTTAAACAATAATATTCAAATACACTTGTATGTGTACGTGTTTCGGTTTATCAGTTACTTTCAGAAGACATGTTGGATTTAGATGAGTTAATGGTGAAAAGGTACAACTATTATTAAGACAAGGAAGAAGATCCAGTTTTTAGTAAAACTCACCATCAACAACGATGATCTCAATATCCTTGACTGAAGTCCGTGTCGAAGATATTCCCGCACCACACCTGTAGCGTCCTGAGTCAGACTTGGTCAGCTGAGTGATGCTGACAAAAAAACCTCCATCTTTATCATCAATGCTGTATCTGCCACTCTGAGCTGAGGCATCAGTTGTTTCAATGAGAATGTCTTCTTGTCTACATGGTTCCTTACAGAAGAACTTCCTGATTCTAGAAGAAGCAAAGGAGCATTCAACTGTGACATTTTCTCCTTCAATTACTGAATAGACAGGGAGTTGGGCACTGACGAGACCGGTGCTTCCATCCTGCAGAGCTGAACAAAAGACGAACAAAAGATAAACCATCATTATTAGTGATCAGTACTTCCTGTAGGATGTTGCAGTCTGATGACAACACTTCCTGTTTCACATGAACACAGATCCTCAGAGTTAAACCACAGCCTGACTGAAGATCACCATCAGCACTGCAGGTTAATGTGACCGTTCGGTCTGAGACATTTATCCTTTAGACACAAAGACTACATGAAGTCTCCATCTGTAACTTTAAGCTACATTAACGCAAATCCTAATAGTACATCATCTTGCATTGTTTATGTCCACAACACTTTGACAAAAACAATTAGATAGATGTATACTTTATTCATCGCAAAGTAAAACATGTTTAAAAAGATATAAGACACAAATATAATAAAAGTTAACCTTAGCGGCGTGTATATATAAGAATACAAATCAAAAGATTAATAAATTAATCAAGAAAATATTCTGCAGATTAAATGATTATGAAAACAATCATTAGCAGTAAAAACAAGCATGTACATTCTTTTACAAATCAGTCGTTATGACTTCTAGTTTTACTCATTCAGTAAGACGATGATAACTGATTTTAATGATGAGGTACACTAGTTTGAGGAAGTGAAGCATACATTTGAAGCTTAGGTCATTGGTTGCATACTAAAAAGCCTAACTTTGGAATATTTGAACAACTCGTACTGCTGGAGCCTTGCATTAACTTAATACATACTTAAAAAGAAAACTATGAAATTACTGAGATGAAAATAAAGTGATGTACTCACAGAAGAGGAAGAAGAAGCAGATCAAAGTGTGACAGACTTTCATGCTGAGACTCTGATGGTTTACCACTGACTGTCTTTCTTTACTGGCCAACCAGGAACTTGTTACTTCTTTAAATGATGAAGTCCCTCCTCCAAACACAACACAGCTCTACTCTCCTCCCCAACGCAGAAATTGTCTAAAAATACCCCATTGAAAATAATGAATTGTAAATGTTAACGCGATCACAGCTCCTCATATCTGTTCAGAAACTGGACAAAAGTTAAACATACAAACCACAGACTGTCTGTGTCATGGCGAATACAGTCGCTGCTTTATGTATGTCTGTATGACGTTGTTGTGAGCAGGGCCGGCCCAGACCAATTTGCTGCCCTAGGCAAGATTTTAGCTGGCACTCCCCCCCCCCCCCCCACAACTGCAGACACTTACACTTACTATGACTCGCGCGTGCATGGTTGTGGTGTATATTGTGTAATATTGAAGTTGAAAGCATCAATCTGGTGCACTTTGAGAGCAACATTAGGAGCTCTATGGATACATCTCTCAACACCCAGATGAAACAGAACTGTAAGTAGATTTTCTTTTTCTTTATGGATATTTTACAAATCACTCCCCTTTCAAACTGTATTCTTGTTTATTAATAACAACTTTTTTGTACTGTCATATAGTATTTCATACCTGTTTTTCACCTATTCTCTTATTTGTTTATAACTATAATGATCATATAAAGGTGTGCCTTTACCTCACTGAGCTGAGGTTATCAGAGCCTCTCAGTCTTTCAGGAGAGAGCTCTCTAAAGCTCTCCCCCCGCGGCCGCTTACACAGTAAATTCCAATGTTAATAAAAGCACACAGAAGCTGTGTACGTTTTTTGGGAGTTTGATTTATTTTAAATTAACACAAATATAAAATTAAAATCTATTATTGCACACTAAAACCATTATTTCAAAAAAAAGAACAATTTCACATAAACCTCTGGTTTTTACTGGGGCTGGGGCAGTTCAACTTGATTTTGTGGGGGGGGGTGTGTGCCATAGTTTATGGGCGCTGTACGCAATATAGGCGTAATTCTGTTAGTATAAGATAATAAGATGTACTTTGTTGATGCAAAATCGGGAAATTCTGTTGTTATGAAATTTTAAAAAAAAAATTCTCCCCAATTTTCGGCGCCCCCTATGGGTTGATGCGCCCTTAGCATTCGCCTATACTGCCTATGCCGAGGGCCGGCCCTGGTTGTGAGTGTGGACGGAGCAGCTACAGGTTAGTTTAGCCTGATCGATTTTCCTAAACCCTATGGAGAAATCCCATTGCTTTTTGGCGAAGGAACCGGAAGTGGTGAAATGCTAACTCACTTCCTGGTTGTAGGACGCGTCACTGCACCACTCTTTTGTGTGAATCATCTAAATACATTGAAACTAAAAACAATATCTGCATCAATCTTTAGTTTGTATTCCCGTCAATGCAGCATGTAAAACAATATGCAAAACAAAAGATGCATTTCAGCCGCACACATTAAAAAAGAACTAAGCATTGGTTAGCGTTACGTTCCCAATGTATAATAAGTAGGTCAACAAAACCATGGGAAGAAGGTTTTAGAAAGTAAAGCTGCTCGTAACCAGCGTGAGATAATGGTTTTGTGTATTGGTGATATTAGTGGGGGGGAAATGGGTTGTGGCTTATGAAATGAACAGGTATGTTGAGATGGAAGGAAGTGGAACAAAAACAAAGCAGAAAACAATGGCAGCCATGGAGCAGAGAGCTGAAAATGCAGCGTAAACGCAGAGGTGCGCTGCGGGATGGAGAGGAAAAGTTGTGAAGCTCTGAGTGCACCGTCACATCTTCCTGTAAATGTAACTGAGGCACGTGGCACATGGATAAGCACTGGAGAAAGTGGATTACATGACAGCATGGAGGAACACGCTAGAATATTTTTCATCCAGCAGACACTCGTCGGTCTGATCGACTTGTTGTTTGCCTGTAATGATGGACGCTGTTATGATTTTCCTTCGGCTCCTAGTTAGATGGTCCTTAAACTTCACAATGTTAACAAACATGATACACTTTCTCCTGTGTATATCACTTGAAAAAAACTAGTAGAAAATGTTTCTACTGTATTCACACACACACACACACACACACACACACACACACACACACACACACACACACACACACACACACACACACACACACAGTTACTCTACCTATTTTTCTATAAAGTGAAGATTTGTTTACCTACTTTTGAAACATGCTCTGATAGAATAACTGTATGCTGTTGGAAAAACACAATATTTTACAGATGCAGTTTCACTAATCCCATTTTCAAAAGTTAGGGTTCGAAGGGGTTAAAAACCAGGAGTATAAACATACATTTCCTGATCATCTGTGGCGCTAATTGAAATGTGATCCTTAGTGACCAGCACAGTTCATTACATTACATTACATGTCACTTGTTAGACGCTTTTATCCAAAGCGACTTACATACTCAATACTGTGGGCAAACACAGGAGCAATTTGGGGTGAAGTGTCTCAGGGACACAACGACATGCTGACTGCAGTACAAATCAACTAAAGTTAAACAAGAACAAACCACAGACTGTCTGTGTCATGGCGAATACAGTCGCTGGTTTATTTATGTCTGTATAGGCCGTTGTTGTGAGTGTGTATGGTCGGAGCATACTGCGTTACCTTCGCCGATCTCCATTCAGAAAACACGCATTTTAAAAGGTTTTTCGCCTGCTGTCTTGTCTACACACTTGTCAAAGCATTAATTCATGGTTTTTACTAACCGGTATCAGTATGTTGTTACTTAATTTTGAAAATGTGTATTACAATTACATCACGGTAAAATAATGTTCATTGTGTTAGTAGTTGTAGCCACTCACGTCACTAGTTTAGCATACTCAGCCCGGTTGTTGGCCCGGAAAGAACCACGATTTTGGAGGGCCAGAAAAACTGTGAAAAGACCCGTTAGCCGGAACTACCCCTAGTGGAAACGCAACAAAAACGGGCCTGGTTTGGCATGGCACGCTTAAACGGTGCTACGCGCTGCAGTGGAAATGTGTCCCACATTAGGGAGTGTCCCACATTAGGGCAACTCAACCCTACTTTGTAGTATTTCTTTCTTTATACATAGTTCTATCATCTATTTAAAAATATGTATTGTTGTTATTTATTATTGATACATATTATAGCAAAAAAGGCACACATTTTACACACTTATTTCACATTTTCCTCATAAATAATTGATGTTAATAGGCATGTTTATACTATAAGAAAATGTATCATATCACATATATTTTACCCCCGTAGTTCAATAAAGTTTTAGTTTTTTTCACAGGCTTTGGTAATACAAAAAAAGACAAATAAATAGAGACAATAATCATTATAACAATTACTTAATTCATGCATTATAACATAATAATATCATTTTTAGAATTAAATGTGTCATTGCTTTTTTCACTAACGCCTCCACAGCATTTATTTATTGTTCCATGCATTTTTCCTGTATTGATGTATTTCTCCGTGTGTTTCTGTATTTTTATAGATTTATTTTAATTATTTACGTTCTTATACGTTATGTCATTTCCGTTCTCCATACACAGCCGATCCCGCTGCAGTTACATGACTTGAACAGGCGTACGTGGGGACTACTTTCTGGGAGTAAACGTGCGGTACGTGGTAACACTTCCAGGGTTGTGCTTCGGTCGTGAGAAAACTAAGATGGCGTCTCGTCAAGAAAGATAGGATGGCTTGAAGAGAGTGATGATGTTGGTCGAGGGAATTATTGATAGAGACATTAAGTGATAACGTTTGAGACTTTCGTACACCATCAAACAAACCTCCGCCATCCAGAGCGGAGTTATATGGAGAACTGAGGCTGGAAAACGTTCAACTTTTAGCTAGCAGTGTTAGCTAGCCAACTGGACCCGTTTTATTTCCAGCGTTCATCACAACAACAGAGGAAGGAGAGCGACCAGCAGCCCTGTCATTACCCGGGACATCGAGGTGTCTTCGGGTCAGTGTAACCGAGACATTGTTGTGCAAGTGGGGTCAGACATACTGGGCTTTACTGCATATGAATAACTAACGATCGCTGGTTGTTAGCCTACAGGCTAGGTTAGCTTGTTTGCTGTTACATTAGCCACCTAAATGCTAGTTACCTTTAACCATGGGAGGCCTCGATGCTAACGGTAGCTGAGAGCGGCGTTATCGCGATAGGAAAATAAGCAGGTTTTTATGGGGCAACACAGTTAAAGAAGATACATCATAAGACTTTTTAATAATACGTATATAACAATAAAATATAGCAATATGTACATGAAATAAAGCTATACCCGTACAAATATAATATTTATAAATAATAATATAGCTGAACAATAGACACAATTCATGATGGAATAGAAATGTATGTCACCAAGCTTACACAACACAACAATTACAGTGTAAACATGTTTTTAATTATTTAGTTATGGCTCTTCCTGGTGTGTAATGTTAGTTTTAACACCAGTTTCCCCAATTTCAAACCTACATTTGATAGCTAGGTTAGCTTGTTTTTTCTGTTACATTGCTTTTTTTGTACCCACCTAACGCTGGTTACCTATCCATTTGTTTTTAGGGGGATTAACATTATCTGTCCAGGGCCTACAGATGAAAAATTGCCTCTTGGCTAACTCTTGCACATGTACAGAAATGTTTTTTAATGTGCACTGTCCCTGTTAAATAGATTTAAAGGAAGGCGAGAAGTGGAAGGCCTCGATCCTTACGTTATCGCGATACCTGAACAATAGACACAATTCTTGATGGAATATAATTGAAAGACACCAAGCTAACACAATATAACAATAACAATAACATTTCAAACATGTTCTCAATTATTTTGGCTGTTCCTGGTGTGTAATGTTACCCCTAGTTTAGTAGCTAGTAGTGAGCTAACACTTGCCATCTTGTGTATAATCGAGTAATAATAACAACACGTTAATCGACATATAATGTAAGTATTAGCTTTCTGCTATCGAGTGGTTGTGCATTTGTTGTCATTTGTCCTTTTTTAAAGCGAATGAATGAATCTAGTCCATCCCACTTGCGAGTGGTGATGCCTTCATGGCCTTCTAGGGTTCGTGGCCTCCACGCCATTGTTTGTATGAAGGCCTTTAAAGAATCAAACACATGAGGACATTTTACTCCCAGAATGAGATTGTTTGAAAAACTCACGATATGTATTCAATAATGCCTCCTTAAAAGATACTTATGTTAAGACTTTGATGCAAACGCATTACATGGAAAAAATGCTTTTGGCTCAAGTGGATACAGAGATGTAGCAGTCACTTCTGTATGTAATACATGTGATTGTTGATTTACATTGACTCTTAAAGCATCACTTACACCTTTTGCCCCTCTACTATGGGCCTTGTTGATTCAGCAGAGCATGGCGTTTGTTTTGTTGTGTTGGATGTTGGGGGAGGGGTCTTTAAGAAGGGCCACACCACAAATCCATATCCTGGGATTATCCTGGTCTCTTGTTGTTGGATATTGTGTTCCGTTTTGGAGGAAATAGTCAACTATGAAACATGCAGAGGAACTAAGTGCTAAATATATGTAAAGATGACAATATTACTGTGCAGTGCTGAACCAGGAAGTGGTGTGAGAGAGAGAGAAGTAAACACATGCAGTGAACTTTTGTAGGAGCTGTACAATATGCTTTTTTATTGTTTTTACATACACGTGTAAAACATGTTAACCTTTTGACCTTTAAAAAAAAAATGCTTTAGTTTCCTGTTATTGGGAATGTGTCATTTCTGAAGATAAAATATCGACCAGTGAACATTTTTGTAGAAGGTTTCACATTGTGTACCTACAGTTGTACACTGCTCCAGGCTATCACCAAGACAAATGTAGATCTATTCTGATAAACAAGGATTTTAATGTATTTAAAACTGTGCATGGTTTTAAATGGTTCTCTACAAATGATAAACTCGACTTTCATACATAAAATGCTCTCTGTGATGCTGCGTCAAACCCATCAGTTTATGAACTTGTTTTGACTTGTCCATCTTCAGGGCAATGGAAGGGGAAGAGTTTGTTCCTCCTCCGGAGTGTCCAGTGTTTGAGCCGTCATGGGAGGAGTTTCAGGATCCTCTGGGCTACATCGCCAAGATACGTCCAATCGCAGAGAAGTCTGGAATCTGCAAAATCCGACCTCCACAAGTAAATATTTGTTCATGCTTACATTATGTTTTCTTCAATGCCATGCCAACTGCTGCGCTATGTGTGACATCTGTAGCATGCAGTGTTGACCATGCTCACATTATGTGCAACGTCAACAAAGTGAATCGGATCAAGTGACTTCTTCCCAGGGTTGAGTTGATGTTGAGCAACAATTATAATTCAGCAGGGTAACTATGTAGGATGTTCACTCAACATAAGATATAAAACGATTAAACGGCTATAGCAAGTAACTTTCTTTATACATACTATTAGGGATGCTCCGATCGCTAATTTCGGGGCCGGAATCAGTATCGGCCGATACCGATTCCGATCGAGTGGGCGGGGCCTAAATGGAAGATTTAAACATCACTTTAAATCTTCCATTTAAAGTGATGTTTAAACTCAGTTAATGCTCATTCACTGGAGCTTCCACAAACAACAATCTACTTAATTATTACATTCAAATGATGAACATTATTCAAGTTTACATTAACTTTGGAGAATAACACGGGAGAAATGAGCGGAAGCGCTCTCTTTTCCTCTCTCCCTCTCTCTCTCCTGACAGCCTGTCAGTATCTCATGCCGCTCACTGATCCAGTAATGAGTGAAGTGAAGAATACATATATTTATAATAACTAGTTTAGCTTGTTCCAGAGGTAGATCAAATAGCTAAGTGTGTTAGGTCTAACTCTTGTGTGTTTCGCTCCGCTCACCGGTCCGGCGGGCGGAGCTGCAGGGTTTCTGCTTCACACACGTTGCATTCCGCTATTTCACTGTCTTTTTCGGACACCTTAAATTAATGCCAGACCGGTGAAGCCATTTTGTCGAGCTTGCTTTGCCGCGCACAGAGAAAAGTGTCATGTATTTTACGTCATGCGATCGGCTCTCGCGATCGGCATGTTTAGAGAGCACCGATGGATCGGTAGAGAGTGAGTATCGGCCGATCGATCGGAGCATCCCTACATACTATTATGCTCATGTGCATTAATGTTTTGTTTCTAACTGTAAATACATTACATTGTTACAAGAGTGACATTACAGGAGAGAATAGAGAGGGTTACTGGAGGAAAAACGCAAATGTATCGTTTTTAGGGCTTCGTGGATATTATCGTGCAGTTATACAGATTGTACTTTTACTACTAAATGTTCGTCACTTTACCGACGCTGTAGTTGTTTCCATGATCTTGTAGGAATGTTGATTTCCTAATCAGTTTATGCCTTGAGTTGTTGATAGTGTAATACTGCTCTTAAGTAGGGAGCCATGACCTTGTTCTTGAGCCTGAAAGCCAGAGTTAAGCCCAAACTTAAGCTCACTATCTCTTTAATCTCCGTTGTCCATGTATATATATTTTTTTTTGAGTAAGCACGCTGAATGACAGTGATCCCAGTTGAAGCAGCAAGTAGACAAGTTGTTTGAGCATTTGGTTCCACAAGTTTTCAATCGAGCGGTGCAGGGATGACGTATTTACCCGGAAGGAAGCTGCTGGTTCCCTCGACACAAAGCAACGGGATTTCTCCACAGGATTTTGGAAAATAGCTCGAAATAAGATCTGTGAAAACCAACCTGTTTGATGAATGCACGTTTTGTTCAGTCGGATAATCTCTACATGTCTACTTTTATCATTTTCTAATCGTAAATCTAGTCCCCAGAAGCTAAATGCTAACGTTATGCTATAAAGGAACTACAGCAGGGTCGCTGCTTCAACGTCACGCCGACTTCAGATCCATATTCAAACATACAGATTCAAAATGGAACAAGTTGAAGCGTTTGTTTGAACAGTTAGCAGGAGGCAGGGACTGGCTTTCAGCAGAACAGGGCAAACGCACTTAGAGCAGTGTTTAACACAAACACTTAAAATAGTAGATAAGAAATTCATTCTCATCGTTGCCCAATACTCACAAAATATAACTTGTTGAGCTGGGAAAATGTAATGAGATATGCAAATGCTTGCCTCATGTACAAAATAATACACGGCCTTACCTCACCTCCGCTCAGACATTTTATCACCATACCTGCACACCTGTAACTACGGCAACAAGAGGAGACTGCCTTGTTCCATTAAGGAAGAGTTCATTCAGCCAATCTTCGTTTTCTTTTAAAGCTGCACTGGAACTCAGTCCCAGTAACGGTTAGAGAACAAAACCTGCAGTTTATTCAAATCTAACTTAAAAACATGGTTAGTGGAAAATCAGCTCTGTCAACACGGACACAATCTGCACTTCACAACGCTCTGTGTGCACATGTGCCTTGACCTGTTGCTATCGGTCTGCTTTGTGAATACGCATTTTAGTTTTGATATTTTTATTAGGGCTGTCAGTCGATTCAAATATTGAATCGCACGATTGTCCATAGTTACGTTATTAACGCGTTAACTTGACAGCCTTAGCTTTTATATCTGCCTTTATCATAATATAAGCATCTATGTTGACTGTTGTTTTAGGATGACTTTCAACATCTGTCCAGGGACTGCAGATGAAAAATAGCCTGTTGGCGCGTTTACAGAAATGTTAATCAATGCGTCCCCGTCAAATAAAAACGTGTTTGCCGTAATGGCGTACAACGGCCTCCACAACTTCTGCAGTCCTATTCAGCCACTTGGTAACAACCAAGACACGTCAACTCTTCTGTCTTTGCCTTTGTAACAGGACTGGCAACCTCCGTTCTCAGTGGAGCTGGACACCTTTCGCTTCACACCCCGCATCCAGAGGCTTAACGAGCTGGAGGTAAGGTCTTCCCCTCAAAGCTGTACGTCGTTGACAGAGGATTGAAGTCGTTGATGGAACTCACCCCAGTAATCCTGATGATCCCTCATGCATTTTATTCTAGGCGGAGACCAGAGTGAAGCTGAATTATTTGGACCGCATCGCCAGGTTCTGGGAGGTCCAGGCGTCCTCGTTGAAGATCCCTCACATTGAAAGACGCATCCTTGATCTTTTCGCGCTGTCGAGGGTAAACTTGAATTGTTTGTTTTTAAATAAGTGTTTGTTTGTTGTCATTTTTCTTTCCCTATTTCTGGGTTTCTCATCTGGCTTTGGTCTGCTGCAGATTGTGACGCATGAAGGGGGTTTTGAGATGGTGTGTAAGGAGCGGCGCTGGGCTCGTGTTGCTCAGAGGCTCGGTTACCCTCCGGGGAAGAACATCGGCTCTCTGCTGCGCTCGCACTTCGAGAGGATCGTCTACCCCTTCGAGATGTTCCAGTCTGGCTCCAGCTTGCCGGTACCTATCTACACATTCTCATCTGTCCTTTTTGTAATACCAGGGCTCATAGAATGTGTCCATCTGTGGAAAGTAACCTGGTTGCTTTTAGTATATATATATTAAGAATAAATACGATTGGGGCATCACACAAATCAAGAGGATAGTATCACACACTTTTAGATTTTTGGTTATTTCTTTACGATTTATTGGAAATTAATTTTCTTGGCAGATTATAATTTCCTCTCTACTTGGGTTCTATAATTTACAGCATGCACAAATGTATTTTCAATGGAAAATGTAATTGTATGCTCAGACAAAAATGTAATAAAATACAATATTTGTGTGTGTGTACATTTTTAAATCTATTTATTTAGTCGAGTTGTGTGTTCGTGTTCATATCCTGGTGCATCTCTGAACGTATTACTGTACATCACCTGTATCTTTCGTCGTTTGAATAAAAACTACATTTTCCACATCATCTGTAGAATTACAAGCCGAAGCACTACGACGGAGAGGAGGTGGATAAAGAGTACAAGCCTCACTCCATCCCGCTGCGACAGTCTGTGCAGCCGTCCAAGATGAGCAGCTACGGACGCAGAGCTAGCCGCTGCCAGCCCGATGTGAGTTACAGCTCCTTCACTCCTTTCAGTACATTTACGTACCTGTATGAGCAGGAACCTGACACTGAACTGGTCACTAAGGATTCAATTAGCGCCACAGACGATCGTCACCTTACGACCCTATTTAAAAAGGAAAATGGGATTAGTGAAACTGCATCTGTAAAATATTGTGTTTTTCCAACAGCATACAGTTATTCTATCAGAGCATGTTTCAAAAGTAGGTAAACAAATCTTCACTTTATAGAAAAATAGGTAGAGTAACAATGTAAATACTGCTTAACTAAAATATTGTGTTTAGGTGTGATTTTGACTAACGTGTGTGTGTGTTTTTTTCAAGTGATATACACAGGAGAAAGTGTATCATGTTTGTTAACATTGTGAAGTTTAAGGACCATCTAACTAGGAGCCGAAGGAAAATCATAACAGCGTCCATCATTACAGGCAAACAAAAAGTCGATCAGACCGACGAGTGTCTGCTGGATGAAAGATATTCTAGCGTGTTCCTCCATGCTGTCATGTAATCCACTTTCTCCAGTGCTTATCCATGTGCCACGTGCCTCAGTTACATTTACAGGAAGATGTGACGGTGCACTCAGAGCTTCACAACGTTTCCTCTCCATCCCGCAGCGCACCTCTGCGTTACGCTGCATTTTCAGCTCTCTGCTCCATGGCTGCCATTGTTTTCTGCTTTGTTTTTGTTCCACTTCCTTCCATCTCAACATACCTGTTCATTTCATAAGCCACAACCCATTTCCCCCCCGCTAATATCACCAATACACAAAACCATTATCTCACGCTGGTTACGAGCAGCTTTACTTTCTAAAACCTTCTTCCCATGGTTTTGTTGACTTACTTATTATACATTGGGAACGTAACGCTAACCAATGCTTAGTTCTTTTTTAATGTGTGCGGCTGAAATGCATCTTTTGTTTTGCATATTGTTTTACATGCTGCATTGACGGGAATACAAACTAAAGATTGATGCAGATATTGTTTTTAGTTTCAATGTATTTAGATGATTCACACAAAAGAGTGGTGCAGTGACGCGTCCTACAACCAGGAAGTGAGTTAGCATTTCACCACTTCCTGTTCCCTGGTCTCAGAGCCAATGGGATCTCTCCATAGGGTTTAGGAGAATAGCTGGAAATCAGGTCTGTGGTTGAAACACATTGCTTTGCTTTTTGTGGAAGGAACCGGAAGTGGTAAAATGCTAACTTACTTCCGGGTTTTAGGACGCGTCACTGCGGCTCTCAATTAGGACACTTTTAAGACATGGGCTTCTTAATATGAAATCCATTTCCTATTGCTTTATTTTGAGCAATTTTGTTGAGCATTCTTAAGCTTTAATCATACAAGTATTACATGCAAAAAGTCAGTACAATTATTTTTAAGAATTAAACTGTACTACAAGTATTGTGCATGAGAACACACTTGCACGGCAACCATTACATTCTTAACACTTTCACAACCATGTTGCCAAACCTGAAATACTATAAATCTAGTCTCAAACGGTATGCTTTCATAATAGTTGAGGCTTCTTACAAAATGTAACTAAACCATTCGTACTTAATATGATGCAACCCCATCTAAATGGTGTCTAGTTTTAAATTGAAATAACAAATGTAGTTTCCAAATCCACAATATGTTCTTTGGACCGGCATCAGATGTGTCCAAGTGTCAGGTGGCTCTCTCCCTCCCTCTCATCTCCCTTTTCCCCTCTTGTCTTAGTTTATTGTTGCTGTTGTTGTCTCCCCCTGCAGGGTCCAGAGGATCTGGCCCCCCATCCTCTCACCACTGGCTCTCAGCTCATCTCTGCGGTACTGCCTCTTCAGCAAATCAGCTCGCCTTCCTCCTCCTCCTCCATCTCCATCTTTTTCCTAAACCACCTCACCCCCTCTGAAGTGTCTACTAAAACATTTCCATTAACATGCGATCATACTCCCTAAGCCGTTATAGGGTCACACGATTGTTGCAGAAATAAAATAAACTCTTTGGACAATAACATAATTAAACTATAATTTAAATGCCATTTGCAGACTAGAAAGGACTAGAACATGACCACAGCGTTGTAGATTACCACGGCTGTTTTGAATATATGTTTTAAATTAACTGTAGAGTAGGCCCTATGTTGTCTTATGTTGAACAAAGGCATTCGGAGCAGGACTGTGCATCTTCACTGGTCTCACGATTCGATTACGATTATCCTGTCAACGATTCGATTCAATTCGATATCACGATTCATACCAATGCGTTGCATCCTCAATTTTTTATATTACTGCACATGGCTTATTTTTCATCAATGCATACATGCAGTAAATACATATGAACTCTCTTTTTATTATTTAGAAAGTGCTTCAGAAATCAATAACATAAATGTCTTGACATTAATTTATAAACCAAAATAAATGAACTGTATAGGTCTAGCCTCCCTATATCTGTGTGTGAAGTTGTTCCATCCTCAAAAACAAAACACTAATGCTTCTGCAGTCTAGCTGCAGCTCAACGGTCTTCTGTTAAAAAAAGGACACTGAATGTCCTGAATGTGGCATCACACACAGGACTTGAGTCTGAACACAGCAGACAACAGGAGTATTTACAACAGCATATAACAACTAAAATACTGCATGTGGGTGCACACTTACATTCTCTGTCTTACTGTTATATAAATCCCATGAATGTATGAGATTAAGTTAGCTTCATTATATCTCAGTGATTAAGTGAATAATAAAGTTTCTATCCTTATCACTGTCAGCCTGTCACTCATTATTTTCAGGGAGGGGGCGGGGCTTAGAGGAACGGATGTGACGGTGATCGCGGAAGCTTTTTTCCTCCTGCCTTCACAAACTTTACACACGTATATATCGTCTGAAAATTGATAGAGGACATTCATACTTTGCAATCCAAGACTTAATTAAATCCACCAAAAACCTGACATGATTGTAACGCGATTATTTTTGAAAAACATAAATCCCTGTGTCTCTGTGCCGCAGCGACACGGAGTGATTCAGAGCGGGTCCTTCTGCTGTTGGTTCTGGACTGGTGTTCTTGTGTTGATGGATAAAGCAGACTGCTCCGTGTTTGGTGTTGCTGTGCCGCTGTCACGTCTGTTCCCTGATCTCTGCGTCACCGACCGATTTGATATTAAAGTGACAGAAAAAACAACCTTTTAGTAAAGCCGCGGCCGGAAAATCAGGAAGCAACGTTACTACGCTATAATCGATTATCTTCCGTCACTGCATCGATACCGAATCGTCCACGTCCGCATCGCAATGCATCGTAGAAACGATTATTTTCAACACCCCTAATTCGGAAACCAGTTTCTAGCCAAAAACCCAATCCAATCCGGCAGTGGCTCAGTCAGTAGGGGCTTGGACTGGGAGCCGTAGGGTCGCCGGTTCAAGTCCCCGACCAGACCTACAATATGGAGTGTGGACTGCTACTTGGAGAGGTCCCAGTTCACTTCCTGCCCTGCCGTGGTGCCCTTGAGCAAGGCACCGAACATCCCCCTTCCCCCCTCACTCCCATTGCTCCCCGGGCGCTGTCCAATAGCTGCCCACTGCTCCTAGTACTAGACTCCTGGTACTAGGATGGGTTAAAAGCAGAGAACACATGTCGCTGTGTGCTCTGCATGTGTGACCATTACAGAGGGTTTCATCCCTCCCAATTCTATTCTATCTACAACTTAGTAATTGGTCTTGAATATAAGATAAGATGGATCTTTATTAATCCCTGTGGGGAAATTCAGTAGTTTAAACAGCAACAGGGTAAGGATACATACAAGAATATATGAACGTATGCAGACGTGGAACTAATTGCCGTTGAAGAATCTTTAACTTAACGTTTTCCCGAATTGCCAATTGTCTGGTTGTGGGACTGAAGCGCTCTCTTGTCTCTCACCATGCCCTTCTTCTGTGGTTGCACTTGGCTTCTGGTTGCTTTGTGGCTGGGCTTTCTGTGTGCTTCCTGCTGTTTCGCCTCGCTCTCTCCGCTCTGCAGCAGCTAACTGTGTGGCTGCATGACTTCTCCTTCGAGTGCACTCACACAGAGGGAACCTCGTAGGTTTCATTTAACTTGGTCTGCTGATGGGACGGACATTACAAAAAAGACAGTTCTTTTTTATCACATAATTATTGTTTGCCTCCAAGCTTCTCCAGGTTTGTTTGATTGCCCCTCTAATATCAAGCTGTGTTGATCTGCTTTGTCCGTCCCACTTGTAACAGAGTTTAGGTTCCAGGAAAAAGGGTTATTTACTCAGTCAGAGAATATATAACAATAGGCAGTTATTTGCACATATGTAATGCAAGGAGGAGAGTAAAACAAACATCAAGCATTTTCCATTACTCTCTTTGGAAACACGTTGTATCTGTCTAGATTTTGGCACTGACAAAGTTGTCATGACATTTATATAATATGTGTTGTTGTGGGAATAGGATGCATCCTTGGACTGCATATTAAGGCTATTGCATAGGCAGGGCAGGGGGAATATTCAGAAGATAAACTAAGAATCTGAGAAAATACTAATTTTTTTCCCCTTTTTTTGTGATATATTCTTTGAGATAATTATTTGAAAGAAAACGGTGGGGGAAACTTCTGTAGCAATAGGAGTCAGGACTCAGAGAGATACGAGGAGAGCTGGAGCTTTGATGGCAAACACTGACGGTTTATTTGGAGCTTCGGCCGGAGAATTCACAAGACCTGTCACGAGCCACGAGTTGACACAGGTTGAGATGCCACAATCAATCCTGAAGACCCCTCCTGTAGCTCCAGGTTTTAACTAGTTCAGAGTGTAATAATCAATATTCTTCAATAGATAGACCAAACAGCTGAGGACACTAAATCACAGTTGTTGTCTCTTATGGCTCGGGGTCATCTACACCCTGAGAAGGATGTGTTCCAGCCAGTGTCCCACAACAATAACTATCTCTGACCGAGAGCTGCCCGGTCACAAACTGGTAACAACAACAATATGCTAGGGCAGCCCCTTCTATGGGAGATAGCATGCTGCCTAAGGCTGGGCATCTGCGTCAGAGGGCAAAAGGTAAACATCTATGGAAATTATTCCCTGACAAAAACGTCTCAGATTTACACAAAAAAGGGAAAAAGATACTTGTGATTTCAGCCCAGCATCACCATATAATCATAGACATTGACACAAATCACAACACCCAAGGTTCTTTCTCACAATTATTATCTCAGAATATTCCAGTCTTTTCTATTACATTTGTCATTTCCTATTCTGGTAAACAAAAATTCTGTATTAATTTCTCCGAAATGTACGGCATTCATTTAGGTAATTCTGCGTTTCATCCATTAATATTACCAACTGACGTGGCTCCATAATTTATATGTTTACCTGCATTAGCAGTTATAGCATTCAGACGGCACAAAGACTATCGATTTGTAGAAGCCCAACCTCCCAGATTCGGACTAAACCTCCAGTGTGTGAAATTACCATAAAACCTTTTTAAATGTTTAGAGAACACGTTGTTAGTTTAACTGGTTGTTAAATCTTGCTTTTATGTGCCTTTTTAGATCTAGTGTGTTTAGCGAAAGAGACGTTAAGACCTTCTGTGTTTCTGTCTACTTTGCTGTTGACACGTGACTTGTGTGTGAAGTTTGCAATCATATGGCAGACTGAACTAGAGGCCAGAGTGTGGCGCAACAATTATGTAATGCACGGGAAGTCTGACATGACCAAGCATTCACTACAACGTGATACTGTCTCATCTTATTTGTGTTTTATCAAAAAAAAGTACTCAAGAAATATTTAAAGCACTGATCTCTTTTAAAATCACACCTCATGTCTCCACAGATCCAAAAGCTTACATAAGGAACACATGGTTCAGTGCTATTTTTCTGTATATGAGGTCCTTTTGGGATGAAAAAGTCTTAGGCTGGTGCCACATGAGAACGGTAACGGTCGTATCCGCTACAGTTCTCTATCATATAGACATGGGGTGTCAAACTCAATTTCATCGCGGGCCACATTCGCATAAAGGTTGCACTCAAAGGGCCGGTTGTAACTATATAAATATATATAAAATAATGTATTACATTATTGCCTCTGAATTGGATTATTATCGGATAGGATAATAACTTAGTAATTAACTACGTCTGAAAGCAGAATCAAATAATTGCAAGTCTCTTCAGTACGCATGTCACAAAACAAGATGCATTGTGGGACATGTAGTTCATGGGCAACCTGCTTCTGTAAAGTGGCATGTAACCGTATAATAAACGTATTATATTCTTTGCAAGCTCTTGCGGGGCCACATAAAATGAAGTCGTGGGCCGGATTTGGCCCCCGGGCCTTGAGTTTGAGACCCCTGATATAGATGGTTCGGCCACACGAGGCCGACAGGGAAACGCAGATAACGATAACGGGTCCCAAGGTGGGTAGATCTGCGGACAAAACGCTCTGGGGGGGCCAAACGGCACCGTGTCTACACCCTAACGATCATTTTCTGATAACGTTGAAGCAATAGCCCCGCCTCTCCCCACCTCTCCTGCTCACCCCCGTGTGTCCCGCGTCATTGCTGATGTGTTTCGCCAACAACAAGAGTGTTTCGAGCCAGGTCCCGGTGTCTCGCAGGACAGTGCACCCAGCAGGTGCCTCCAGCAAACCCCCCCCCCCCCCCCGCACGGCAAAGTTTCCGTTAGCCGAAATCTAAAATTCTCCGGTCAAAATGTCGCTTATTGTTTAGGTGTCCTTTGACACTCAGGCAGTCATATCATTAGCTAGAACTAGCTAGATCTGATCGCTATGGACATGAACGCGAGTGAAGTCTAATCGGACAGGTGAGAAAGATCAGACGGAGAAAAAGAGCCCTGCCTCTCCCCACCTCTGCTGCTAAATCCACCGCGGAGAATAAACAGAAGGGCAACCATGGAAACCATGCTCGGAAGTCTTGTTCGCTGCTTTTGGTGTATTTTGTGGCGGAAATACAGCGCCACTTACAGGCATATGTACTACAGTGGGTCGAGCGGTCTCGTGTGGAAGGACACGTTTCTGGTGCCTATTGCGTGTGGACGGAAGACTTTTTTGACAACGATTTCGGTTCGTTTGCGTTACCGTCTCTGTGTGGCTCCAGCCTTAGAGAATATGCCCCAGTAATACAAAAAGTGAGAAGAAATGTGATTGGAACCGACTCTGACCAACAAAACAACCATTTAAACACATCTTTCCACAAATGTTCATACATGTCTAAAATGAGGACACTTGCTTGTGACATTGCTAATGTTAATGCATCAAACTCAAGCAAATAAAAACAACAGTAAAAGAGTGGCTATCAAACTTCTGCATAGAAAGATGTGTGTATTTTTCAGACTAACTTGTCATTTATAATTGATAGGAAACAAACATTTGTTTTATTAACAAAGGTCTAAATAACAGCGTCTGACTGTATGATTGCAACTGCTGGTGATTATGTGTGTTTTGTGTTGGTTGTGGGTCTTAACGTTAAATCTTTCACAGTGATCTGAGCTAACTTCTCTTGAGTGTGATCCCTTCTCGTGATGCCATCGCTCCACCTTCATGCCGAGACCCTCGCTTGGCTCTGTGTGCTGTGGAGAGTAGAGTTGTTGTCCATCTGTACTGATACGTCTTTTATGATGAAAATGTCCTTCTACCCACAGCCTGAACCCACAGAGGAGGACATCGAGAAGAACCCAGAGCTGAAGAAGCTGCAGATCTACGGCGCCGGGCCCAAGATGATGGGCCTCGGACTGATGGCGAGGGAGAAAGGCCTCCGAAAGAAAGGTAAGGGTCACAACCACAACATCATTTAACCCTGTTTTTTTTTTTTTCACGAAACTGTGTCTCAGTGCTTCTTAACATTTAAAAACCTATTAATGTGTCATACCCGATTAACGGGAAGAAACTCAGCTAACTGACGACACGAACCATTTTTACCGAAACAAAACAAGTCTCACAATTAATCCAGTTAATCCAATGTGTCTGTGTCACTTTGAAATGATTACTGATAATCCATCTTCATATTTATGTCAATAACGGAGATTTCATATATAGCTGCTACGATAGCTACTCTAGTATGACAGCTTCCGGGTTTGGGAATTCTGGCTACGCATCATTCATTCACCAATGGGTAATGTTTAGATGGATTTTAGGAACTCCCCCTCGATTCTATTGGCTCTAACGGTTAAACAAATATGTCAATCATCAAAATCGACCAAGGGGGGCCAGAGATATGGAAAATCCACCCAAATGACCCCAGAAGTGGGTTTTTCTTCTAAATCTCTCTAAAAAGGTCAAATTTCACTTGTTTTGCATCAATCTTGATAGAGGGTACTTATTATATGTTATAGTTTGGATTCCTAAAGCTTTTAGTCTACTATCGCATCATTCAAGGGTTTTCACTATCAGTAATGTTTTTTATTTTGGACGGACACTATAATTTACAGTTTTTTTTACTATGTTAAATCTGAATTTACTTAAAAAACATCTATATTGATTCTGACTTTTCTACATCCAACTCACAGGTTTATCATTACTTTGAGAAAAAAGATTATTAATGTACCCCTTTTAAAAGTGAAGATAGAGTCATTTGTTCTGGAAATGTCATTTTCGAGCCTGAGACCTGGAAAACAGGCTCGGGGCTTAACAGGTTAACCACCATCTCAGACACACATGCCCCTTTCACACCAACGCGTTTTCAGCTCCGGCTCGGAGCTGGAGCCTGAAAAGTACCGGTTTTTCCTGTTCACACCGCAGAGGCGCCGCCTCTTAGCTCCGGAATCCGGTTTACTTCAGCTACAAAAATTGTCGGTCTAGAGGCAAGAGCTTCGGAGCTAAGAGGCGGCGTCGCTTACGTCTCTCTTACGTCAAGGCGGGGGCAGGGGCAGATTCGTCGTTGAAGACCACAAAGAAGTCTTGCATTTCGCATGTGATGTTTGTAAAGTTCCAAGTAAAGTCGTCCCTTGTAAAGTCGTCCCTTGTAAAGTCGTCCGATGCCTTCCATTTCGTTTCGTAAGAGGATAACCAAAGCGAACAGCGCTTCAATACAATCGGCCATTGTTGTTGTTGTCGATGTGAGGGATTTCCGCGCGGTTTGGATTTTATGAAGCAGGCACGTAAACGGTGACGTCATGACGCAGCAGCGGCAGCGGCAGCTCTGGGCGGTGTGAACAGAGCGGGAGCAGAAAAGGGAAACCGGAGCTGAACCAGAAAAGCTCCCGCTCGGAGCTTGAAAGGGAAAAGCGCTGGTGTGAAAGCCGCAACAGAGACACACTTATCACAAGGTCTTTTGTAACAGAAAACTGGAGGCAACAACGCATCATACATTATTTTTTGGTGCAACTGAAGCAATAACTTCAAGCTCCTCAATTATTGGTCCAGTCTAGTTTTTGTTCTGCGTCCACGCCAGCAAATAGCTGTACCCGAAGGCTTTTATTTTCCTGGTTGTCCATCCCTCCTTCAATGCATTCCTCCCATTCCCACGAACGCCTCGAAGGAATTCCTGTACTTTTGTCACAAACATCTTCTTGGACTCAGTAGTGAAGGGAAGAAGATTTTAGGCGGTCAAAGTCACTATAACTTCACGCCCATCCCTCTCTGTTGACTGTAGAAATGAACAAATAGGATTTTGGTGGACAAAGAACATAACTCAAGTATTCATATGCTAGTTAAGACAATTTCATGCAAATGTCTCATAGGATTGTCGTAGCAACTTAAAATTAGCTGCTGTCTATACTAAATGACGAGTTAGGCAAATATGCAAAGAAATACAATATCGATATAAAGTATTTTGAGATCTTTGTTTTAATGCATGAGGCCTCCACCAAATGGATCGTCCTGTTCTGTGTGTTACAGCCACTCTTATAGGGAAACATCAAAGATCATTTACATGACAACACAACATGTTGGCCCAGGTGATCACCCTATGGCAGTAGGCAAAACTCAAGACCTACAAAGAACAATGAGATATACAGATAACCCCTATGTTAAATTCCTTCCTCTCTTCCTGTAGTGTCATAAAACCCCCTTCCAAAGACATCTGTTATCACACATACATTGATATGCCATTCCCAGGGTGCAGCAGTTACATTTCGTTAGGATTACACTGTATTAAGCTTTAATACCATAATTGCCATAACAGGATAACAATATGAACTGATGTTTTTGACTGTTTTGAGTCGATATAATCTGTAAACAAGGTCATAATCCTATTTCAGTTGACTAAAACACTGGGCATTTGATTCCTATCCTAGTCAAGGAAACCTGTGACAATTTGATTAAAGGTCCCATGTCATGTTTTTCTGGTTATTACCCGCCCCCTTGTGTGTTGTGTAGCTTTTTCTGCATGTAAACAGTCTACAAAGTCACAAACCCTCAAAGTACACTCTGTAGCGAGTAAAACTCTAACACAGTAAAGACCTGTCTATGCTGCCCCAGAACGAGTGTGTGTGCTCAGGCTGAGTTCCTCGTTGTCTCGCAGACCCCACGCAGCAACCAGGAAACGACACCAGTAATAGAGCTCACACTGTCCGCTCCTCGTAGCAGCGAGCCTCGCAACGTCCCGCCAACACGGCTCCCAGACCCCACGCAGCATTCTCATCTGTTTGTCATTACTGGTGTCATTTCCTGGTTGCTAACAAACGCCATTGTAAAACATAATCACTGATGTTCCGCTGTAACGGTGGTGGACTCATCAGAACAGAGTGGGCGAGCTGACCAATCAGAGAACAGTGGGCTCACAGGGAGGGAGGGGCAGGAGCTCCAACAAGGCGTGTAGGACAGAGAGTGAATACACATACTTTACAGAGATGCTGTTTGAGAAACCAATGTGAGTTTGAAACATTGAACAATGTAAATCTATTCTAGTAGACCTCAACAATGGAATTATGATCAGTAGAAATGGCCATGACATGGGACCTTTAAAGCTGAGTCAATACAAACAGGTTTTAGTCAGATTACATTGATATTTTGGACTAGACTGAGTGAAATGTTCAAGTAGTTTCTTTCTCATTTCACCTCATTAAGTAAAGTTGTCTTTCTGACTGAGGTTGTTTTGTGCGTATGCTTTAGTCTTGACATGACACGTGCAGCACACAGAACTGCTGTATTGGGCAAACAACAGTTACTCATCCTTTGGAATAAAGACAGTTTTTCATTTTATTTTCACGTTAACAATATTGCATGTTGTGATAACTGACTATCCAAACACTCCTCGCTCATCTCTTTTTTAGACGAGCCGCCTCAAACCATAAAGGAAAGCGTGTCTCCTGCTCCCGGTGATACTTCGGTCAAAACCGAGACACTAGAGCCTCAGGAAGAGAAGAAGAGTGACGGGAGCACATCGAGCCCACAACCCCCTCCTCAGACTGTCCCCGTTAAGGCTGAAGTGAAGACGGAAGAACCAGGAGAGGAAGAGGTGGAGGAGGAAGGAGGGAAAGGGAAGGGGAAATATGAGGAGGGAGCCAAAGCAAAAGGACCTTTTCCAAAAATGAAAATGAGGCTCCGAGGCAACCTCAACAACCCGCAGTGTGTAAGTAAAAAGATTATATCTACATGACAACATTGAATATGAATATAACATTTGCGCTTCAGATGACGAGGTGAGGGCCCACTGCGTGTAAGGAGGGTCTCTCTACCTACATTAAGAATGCTAAGTATACCCTATGTTGGTGTACCTTGCATAACTGCTTGAACCCGTATGGCGCAATACAACTCAGTACATTGTTGGTCATTACGTCAATGTTATACCCTTCCTTTAGTAGAATTGTATAAATTGGAAGGCTAACTAGGTACTCGGCTCATGCGTGGTGAACTGCGTATTCGAAAAGATGAGATCTCAGACTGGCTTACCTTTACGTCAATCAAGTGGCAAATGCCAAAGTAAGGTGGATGATAGGCTAACTTTTTTTTTTTTCAACGCCATGCGATCGACTGACGTATTGGGCACCCCTGGTATAGATCATCAAATCATAAACACCAATAGGGCAAAACAGGGCTGTAACGGTGTGTATTCAAGTAATAGCTCACTTCAGTGAGTGGGTCGGCACGAAGCGGAGGGTCGACAACCCCCTTAGCTGTGATATAATGAGCACATATCACGGCCTGAAGTGAGCTATTGCTTTTATAAATGGTTACCAAGTGTGGCAATATGAAATAAAAACACACACTCTAATTTAAATAGTTTTTATTAGTAAATAATGATGTTCAAAATAAAATAGTCCCTCCGTTGCCTTCTGCACGAAACATAGTGCGAGGTGGTTGCTATGCAACAACACTAACAGCTAGCGAACATATTAGACAGAGAGCGTTGATCCATTATTTGGCTATTTATTTACATTCATTTGTTTGTTGCCGTTTATTGTGCAGCCACTGAAAACCTGTCCAGCATCAGTAGCATGGCTTACGAGGTTACTTGTAGGTTGAGGTTGTTCTAGGCTGTTGCTTGGCGTGGTCAGAATATTGCTCCACTTTCTCCGGTCCCCGAGATTTGGCTTCCAGTAGCTCTGGAGAGAGCTTTCGCACCTGTGGCCACTAACGGTCATCATTTCTCTGCTTTGTTTCAAGACCCGCATCAGAAAGCTTTTGAATGGAGGTACTTCTCCAGTTGGTCTACCTGCTCTTCACGGAGCTCTGCATGTCGTCCTTTAGGTGCTTTCTGGAGATAGGCACTCCTCAATCCTCTCCTCCATAGTGAGACCCCCCCGGAGGTCCAAGTTAACCTTAAATGTTTCCATCTTATGCTTTGTAAGTTTGTTTCGTAACCGAAGTAATGTAAATATATTTATAAAACTGACAAGTCAAATCAAGCAATCTGATTGGCCGATAGTGTTTTTGCGGACCTCTTTGATTACAGATTTGAAAACATCGTTGCTTGCTTTAAAAGTAGCTCAATTCATGATGTCAAACCTTGGAAAGTATCTAGATATCCCTGCCCTAATGCCAAAGGAACTGCACACTGAATATGTTTTGCCGTTTGATGTCTATGTCTGGACCGCTGCGTAAAAAGGAGGGTTTCTGCCCCGTTACTTCTCCGCTGCTTTCTTGTTCCAGTTTGAAAAGCATTTGCTTTTCAGCCCAACTGTATACTGTTTTTCTCAGGCGCGGAGGGATACTGACTTGTTGTGAAAAGTAACTTACAATTCTACCTGTGGTATACGCTCAGTATATCACGGATAAGAACCAATCAGATTGCTTGATTTGACATGTCCGTTTTATAATTGTATATATGTATTAACTCGATGAGACGGTACAGTGTCAATAAAAAAATCCTTCATTCAAGATGTACACATTCAGGTCTTTTATGTCACTTCGAGTTGTCATAATATTCCCTCTGATAGGATATTAAAACATTTATTTTTATAACAATTTACCTCTAAAACTTCAGGGAAATTTGGTAGCTTAACAAAATAAAGAAGGGCGCCTACATTACACAAAAAGCCATCTTTTAAATGTGCCTAGAATTCATATTTTAAAACATTTTCCTCACTTGTTCAAAGGTGGACTCTTTTGTGTGTCGGATGTGTGGTCGCGGAGACGATGACGATAAACTGTTACCGTGTGACGGCTGCGACGATAACTACCACACCTTCTGCCTGCTGCCCCCCCTCACTGATCTTCCTAAAGGCAACTGGAAATGCCCGAAATGTGTAGCAGAGGTGAGTACAAATGTTCCCCACCCCATAACACACTTTTTGCTGGGTTTTTTTTAACCACGAGGACTAATTTAACGTTTAAGGCGAGACACGGCAGGCAAAAACATCGTTTTTCAAGTACTGGTCAATTTTGAGATTTTGTGCTATTTTGATTCTATAACATGTTTTCTTTCAGGCTTTTGGAAGGAAAATGTACAAAATACACATTTAAGTGTTTATTTTACTATAGTTTGTCTATTTGCGTCTGTAGATTTCTCCTAAATTCACCAAAAGTTAGCATTCTAACGTAACATAAAGTACCGCGACCGCTGTGTGCACCATGTCAACAGAGATATCGTTGGAAAGCTCCGTCTCTCCTGCACAATCTCATCAGATCCAAATATGGTCATGTCCTTTGTATCAGCAACCAATCGGGAAAGCACAAAGGGTCTTAAACCAAGAAACAAAATCTCATTGGCTGGTGTCAATTTCTGACAACGTGATTCGTTCAGATGCGTCACGTGGTGTGCTAAAACACTTCCTAGTTTCGCTGGAAATTTAAATCTCAAAATGTCAAAAGAACGGTGAAAAAAACGTTCACAGAGAAGACAACAATTTTCACTTGCACGAAGCAATGTTAGACAAAAAATAAATGATCCCGAACATGAAATACCTTCACGGAGTAGCGCCACACAGCAATCTTTAAAGGTTGTTTTCTCAAAATGAGTTTTTTCTCCTACTCTGAGTCCGACATTTCCACTTCAGTAGCACGTAGAGACACCAAACCTTCCAGTTATATTCCTATCAATATTATGAAGGCTTTTACAGAAGGGTTTGTTCATATGTCATTCAAAGCCTGAATTATACAACATTTTATACCTAAAAACATGGCTGGATATTTTAGGGCTGTTGACAGTATTTTCTGATTTATGGAGTGATAAAAAGAGATATCCAAAATCCCTTCTGTAAAAACTTTAGATTCTAATATGACTACAAAATGAAACAAGAATTTTGAACCTGGCTTTATCCAATGTTCAGATTTGTGTTCCTGAAATGTATTAAAATATGCGCATATTTAATGAGATTATGGATCATTTGCATATTTAAACATGCTATTTCAGAAAACTTGTAATACAAAAAACAATTGTCTTAATGTAAGTAATTAACTGGAGAAATGTCTAGCTGATCTCTTTAAGTTAAAAAAATTACCCTATTCACCTGTAGTATCTCGCCTTCATTGTATCACTTTTTTAGGAGTGCAAGAAACCTGCAGAAGCATTCGGCTTCGAACAGGCGACACGAGAGTACACCCTGCAGAGTTTCGGGGAAATGGCGGACGCCTTCAAAGCAGACTACTTCAACATGCCTGTCCATGTAAGAGAACACACACACAAGACGTCATCTGTTTATCATAAAGCACACGGAGACTAATCTCCATCCTCCCCGGTGTAGATGGTTCCCACGGAGCTGGTGGAGAGGGAGTTCTGGAGGCTGGTGAGCAGCATCGAGGAGGACGTGGTGGTGGAGTACGGAGCGGACATTCACTCCAAAGAGTTCGGCAGCGGCTTCCCCATGGACAACGGCAAGAAGACGCTCACAAAGGAAGAGGAGGTACGCACCATCTTCTTGGAAGTGTGCACATTTTAATGGGAAGAGTCGAGTGCTCATTAAAAGTGCTTGAACTTATTTTGTGCAAAAATGTAATTTGAGGTTCTTTTGATGTTTGTTTTACTTGCATTACTAAAAGTGAATTGATACAATAGCTGTTTGTAGTTTAACGGTCTATCCTGTATCAAAGTGTTTTTGTTTTGTTTTTTAATATTCTTTATTTAGAAGACAGTTGAGAATATTTCGCCAGTTACAATGAAAATATACTTGCAGTTACAGCGAGTAGTAAACATTTGCAATAAGGGAACAGTATAGAGTGCCACAGTGACGCGTCCTAAAACCCGGAAGTAAACTCCTTCCGGTTCCTTCCACAAAAAGCAAAGCAATCTCTCCATAGGGTTTAGGAAACAGCTGGAAATAAGGTCTGTGGTTGAAACACATTGAAGAGACGGGTCACGTTTTGTTCAGCCGGATAATCTCCACATGTCTATCCTACTTTTATCATTTTCTAATCATAAATCTAGTCGCCAGAAGCTAAATGCTAACGTTATGCTATAAAGGAGCTACAGCAGGGTCGCTGCTTCAACGTCACGCCAACTTAAGATCCATATTCAAACACACAGACTCTAAATGGAACAAGTTGAAGCGTTAGTTTGAACAGTTTGCAGGAGGCAGGGACTTGCTTTCAAGCAGAACAGAAACTAACTTAGAGCGGTGTTTACGTGTTCGGCGTAATGACGTACAACGGCCTCCACAACTTCTGTAGTCCTATTCAGCCACTTGGTAACAACCATCGTTTCTCAGACACGTAAACTCTTCAGAAATCACCAGTGGGGTCACTGCTGATGATTTAATGTCGTAGAACAAAACGTGATCCGTCTCTTCAATGTGTCTCAACTAGGGATGCCAGAAACTGACCATGATCAAAATCGGACAGCCCTGGCGAATAATAATCGATTATTCGACGCCCCCCCCCCCCATAATTTTCGATTATGGAGACTGTAACGAATAATCGCTGGCATCCCTAGTCTCAACCACATACCTTAGTTCAGATATTTTCCTAAACCCTATGGAGAGATCCCATTGGCTCTGAGACCAGGGAACAGGAAGTGGTGAAATGCTAACTCACTTCCTGGTTTTAGGACGCGTCACTGTGGCACTCTATACATTGAAACAGAGGCATCACATATTGAGGGACAATCCTGCAGGCGTAATAACAGTCAAACAAACAAGAGATTACAATATTTTGGTAATTAGACAAAGCAACATGTTTCTTTCGGTGATAGAACTGGTTATCAGCTCATCAGTAGTTTGTTAATTCTATGAAATGTGGCCGGACCAGAGCTAATTTCCTCTGCTCTCTCTCCCTGGTTGCTCAGGAGTATGCTCGCAGCGGCTGGAACCTGAACGTGATGCCGGTGCTGGAGCAGTCGCTGCTGTGCCACATCAACGGAGACATCTCTGGGATGAAGGTGCCCTGGCTGTACTGCGGGATGGTGTTCTCCGCCTTCTGCTGGCACATCGAGGACCACTGGAGCTACTCCATCAACTACCTGCACTGGTACACAAAGATTTATGCTTTGTTGTGGGTTCAGCATTTTATCATACTCATAGAATTGTTATTGCTCCTAGTTATATTACGTTTTATCCAAAGCGTCTTACAATAAGGGAAAGAAGTGACTTAATAACAGAGAAATCCTTCATTTACTTTGCTATGAAACAGTTTGGGAAATGTATTGTCTTCATTTAACTCATAGTGTTACTTCTTACTATAACGTTCCCTCTCTTTTCTGTCCTTCCCATATATCTCATGGTCTCCAGGGGGGAACCGAAGACGTGGTACGGGGTTCCCTCTGTGGCGGCGGAGCGTCTGGAGGCCGTGATGAAGAAGCTGACCCCGGAGCTGTTTGAGTATCAGCCTGACCTCCTGCACCAGCTGGTCACCATCATGAACCCCAACATCCTCATGTCTCACGGCGTACCGGTCAGTCTCACACACACGGACACACACACACGGGGACACACACGGACACACACACAGACGCATCTCCCCCTCCCTCTGGAACTCCCTTCCCAGTCACATCTGAAAATCCGTTCACCCCCCCACTATACTCGCACTTGGATTGTACTGTTTCTGTTCTGATTTTATGTAAAGTGTCTTTGAGCATTAGGAAAAACGCTATAAGATTCCCATGTAGTATTATTATGAAATATGGTTAGTAAAGAAAGTTCTCTTTGATTGACGTGTGTGTTTCTGGTCTGCAGGTTGTTCGCACGAACCAGTGTGCGGGAGAGTTCGTCATCACGTTCCCCAGAGCGTACCACAGCGGCTTCAATCAGGGATACAACTTTGCTGAAGCTGTTAACTTCTGCACTGCAGACTGGGTACGGCTGTCTCAAGTTCACACACTTTTCAGATATTGGATGAAGTATTTACATTTCCTACTTAACTGTAAAAATACTCCTCAATGAACTTAAGTCAAAGTAATCATCAAAATATAGTTACAGTCTTAAGCAAAGAGCCCATTACACATTGCAGAAACATCTCAAATAAAGACAAAAACCCAAAAATGATAAAAGGTAAATGAGAAAATATGTTTATAAATTACTTAGATTTTTCTCTCAATCGGCTAATTGATGAATGGACTAAACTGTTTTGCTATGAAGTCATTTTAGTTTATAAAAAAACATATATTATAAACTTTTGTGCTCCGTAGAATAAAATACTATTAAAAGATCAAATAGAAATATTCAAACAAACACAATAAGTTAAATTGTGCTTTAAGAAGATAAAATGATGTATACATAGAAAACCCCCGCATATTTATACAAACATTTGGAGTTAAAGTACAACTGGCACATCGTAATATATTAAAAATAACAACAATACAATGTATTTTAAATGTGTTTATTACAATATATACATACTTTTATTAGTGTTAATAAAGACACAAATGCTGAAGCTTAACCAGAAGCTAAAGCTGACTTTTTTTGTCGTCCAGTAGCCGTTTAAAGTTCCTCAAATGTGCATTTTAGCACCGTAGTTGCATTTTCACA